CCTCGCAAGCTTGGAGTGCGGAGTAGCCTGCGTGAAAGTGCTGTGTCAGCGTGGGCTTACTGACCTGGTGCAGTTTCCTAAGGACGTTCTTACCTTAAGTGGCCCCGGTAAGGGGGAGAAGGATACCTGAGCCCAGGAACTAGGTACACACTCCAGAATGGGGTTATTTGGAAGATGGCAGGACCCAGAAATCAAGTTAAAGAAACAGAGACAGGAGCTGTCTACAGTTATATACTACTTGAGCGTCCTGTGCACTGTTCTAAAAACTAAAGCGTGAGATGTAAGGACAGGTTTCATTTTTGTAATTTAGCATTTCTTAAGGTGCTTTGGTCATGGGGCAGCTGTGAGAGGTAAATTACTTCTGTATCAGATGGTAGCTTGTGATGACGCAGGGTCACTTTTGGCACTCTTGAACATGAACTTTGCATTTCACCCTTTTCTTTACCAAAAAAATGAAGTAAGCTTCTGAAGAATCTAAGCTCTTTCCCATGTATGTCTTATTGCTTGATTTCTTCATACGGATCCATTGGAAGGCAAGTGTCTGCCTCTCATTCATCACGTTTCCCTCTATGATCGGTTTCTTTCCAAGCAGCGTAATCAGATTTTCAAAAGCTCTCTGATTTAACTGTCACATATGGATTGTTTAATGGTCTCTCATTACATCTTCACGCGTGTTTTCTGTTCCGTGCCCTCCTTTGTTCAGCCTGCACTGGGTCCCAGGTCAGTGATTGTGAGCGGTGGGATGGACGCTGTTTGCCCACCCCTTGAGCGGTGCAGGGGAAGAGGGGCCCAGGCCCAGTGCCTTGCAGCAGAGGACAGCAGGCCTGCTTTTCCTTGCCCTCCTCCTCCTCACCAGAGTAGCTCTGCAGGTGCACATGTGTGTGCCTGTGAGAGACCGGGGCTGCCTCCACCGTGACACTCAGGTGCCGTGGTGAGGAACCGCAACTTGGAGAGTCGGGCTCTGTCCATGGCAGGGATCTGTCTCCTCTAGAAAACGAGAGTGGTGTCCCTGGGAGGCTACACGTGGCAGGAGGGAACTGGAACAGCTGCAGCGCAGTAGCCCTGGCCTCTTCGCTGTGTAGCGTGTACAGCAGTCACCCCCACTCTCTGTTTCTCTCCCTAACCTCCTCTCCCTCCCCACCAGCTTCCTCTGCTGCTCTCTAGTTGCTCTTCACTGAACCTAGGCCCTTGCCCTTCTCCTTCTATGCAAACAGTTGCATTTTTTTTTTCAAGCAGAATTTGATGAGGTCTTGAAGACATAATTAGTGGCCACCATCAGCTTCTGTGCCTTCCCTGTTTCTTTGGAAATTGACATCAGACTGCACAAGGCAGCGTGTAAGAACATGAGCTTGTCTACAAGCCAAGCTTCGTGTTTGCAACCAGCTGTGTCACCTTTGCTGACCTGCTTGGGGAGGTCTGCCTGGAGGGAGGAGGGGGCTGCGTGCTGTGTAAGGGAAGCCCCTTCTGCAGGGCTTGTCTCACACAGGAGAGGCTGCAGACAGCCCGACACGAGCCCCTTTGCTGCTTCCCACTCAGGGCAGCTGTCTGGGTTTACACGCTCAACCCATTTTCTCGATTCCACGTAGAAGGTGCCTAAGCAAGAGTGGAAGGAATCTTGAAAGGAAGCCGAGGAGGAGCTCGCTCTCCGGGAGACTTTGTTCCATTTCTCTCCTACGTTGGCTCTTCCTGTCAGTGACTTTGACATTGGCTCAGCTCCTCCGGCTTTCCCTGCATTCGGGAGAAATGCCTCTGCCAGGAGTTGTTTCATGAACTATGAAAGCCAAAATTGAGTGTCTGTGTGTCAGGCACTGTGATTGGCCACGGGGGTGTAGGTGGTAAACAAAACAGGTGCGACTCCTGCACCGTCCAGTGGGAGATGTAGCCGATATGGAAGGCGCTGTACCGTCACGGCTGGCACGAGCCCTGACCAAGCCGTGTGGGGTGCCATCTGCATGGAGACTGGCAGGATGGTAAACCTAGCCACTCAAAGGGCGTGGTGGGGACAGGCATGCGAGTGGTTCAGGCAGGGGGAGCCAGCTGGGTGGCCGCGTTCTCGTAGAACACTAGCCAGGAATGTTGCAGGCACTGGGACTTCGCAGGCGACTGTGTCACCCTCATGAGGCTGCGCTGCTGGAGAAGAGACTGCAGCTTCATCGTTTGGGGACCTTCAGCACGTGGCCTGTGGCAGGACTGAATAACATGCAAGTCAAGAGCGTTGACCATAGATGGCTTGTGCTCCACTCTCTGTTAAACGGTCTTTGTATTAAGACGTGAGGTCTTGCTTGTTAAAAGCATCGGGAGGAACATGGTTTTCAAGTGCTGGGTTGGCGGCTGCCCTCTGAGAAGGCCTCTTGCCCAGCTGGGGTGCCCTCTCCAGCCTCCCTGCCTGCTCCTCCACATTGCTGGCTTGACCTGCTTAATGTGACCGTGGGTTCAAGAACCCGCGCCATGGCACTAAGAAGCAGTGTTGCAGGAGGGTGCTGGATGGGCTTCTGAGATGGAGGATCCCTGCAGCTCCATCCCAGTCACAGGTGAAGGCCAGCAGGCGCTCTCTAGAGCCCTCAGGAAACTCTTCCGCCATGGTGCTGTTCTCTCGGCCCTGCAGAATTACCCCGTGCACACTCAGACTGCTCAAGTCATTCCCAGTTTAATTCCCTGTAAAGACTATGAGGCATTTCTTTTCCCAGTTGATTTTAAAAGGTAGCTAGAGAGGGGTGGAGAGAGGGAGACTGGCAGAGGTCCCATTTGCTGATTCATTCCCAAATGCCTGCAACAGCTGAGGCTGGCCAGGCAGAAGCCAGGAGCCTGAAACTCAACCCAGGTCTCCCGTGGGGGTTGAAGGCACCCAAATATTTGAGCCATCACCACCGCTTCGTAGGGTGTGCATTAGCAGGCCTTTGGAATCAGGAGCGGAGCCAGCACTCTGACAGGAGATGCAGGCATCCCAAGTGGCATCGTAACTGCGGCACCTTGTATTTTCTGAAGAAGATTCCTTTGGTTTCTTTTCTTCTTGAGAACAGAGAGGTGCGCTTCCGAAAGGTTGCAGCGCTGTCGGTGCTCTTGGGGTGTGTGCATGACTCGCCTCGGTAATGACTGCAGGCACCGGAAGTCATACAGCATACATTTTATAGTCTTCCTGTTTGCTACTTTGTAATTAGGGTATTGGTTGAAACTTGTATCTGTTGTCCCATAGCTGCCTGGGAACCCCCTGCTTTTTTGTGCTCTGTTGGCATCACTGCATTATAAAGTTGGAAATAAATTGTAAAGTTGGAAACCACATAAACAGGTCTGATTGCTTGTTCAGGTATTTGTTCAAACATCTGTTCTTTCACCAAAAGTATGTTCAGCTGAACGCTGTGCTGCGCCAGCAGAGTTATGGAGAGAAACAGGGCATGCGCCTTGCCCTCCGAAAGCCTGCTGGAAGGGTAGACAGTCCACGGTTGTGGCAGGGAACTGGACCGGGGGGAGCACACAGGAGGAACTCCTGCCCCAGCGCTGCGTCAGAGCTCGCACTGTATTCAGAGGACAAAGGAGTCAGTGGGCACCCAGGAATGGGCCCCGGTTTCTTAATCCATAAAGTCCATAAACTTCATTGTGTATGCTTTCAGTTTGGGCTGCAGTGGCCATTCCTGTTTCTAGATACTCAGGGTATTGTGAACTGAGCTCAAATCAGTGAGGTCTTACCTTAAGTCCATGTTCCCTTTTTTAAAAAAAAAAAGTCTGTCGTTATCACTGGTGGTAAGTAGACCATTGAATTAAGGTGCTGGCCCTAGACCGCCCCATTTAAAGGTGCATTCCCCTCTTTAATTTATAGTGTAATACCTTGATGCTGTGGCTCCCTCCCCAACCTTTCATCTCATGTTTCGGTGTCCTTGAGCCTTGAGCCTTCTGGGAATTGGCTATTACTTACTGGTTTTTAAATTTTCATTTATTTTACTTTCATTTGAAGGATAGAGAGTTATATAGAGACAGAGACATAGGGTGCGGAGAGACAGAGAGAGAGAGAGATGGATCATCCACCCATTGTTTCACTCCCCCGTTGCCCACAATGGCCAGCCCGGACTGGGCCAGGCGGAAGCCAGGAGCATGGATGGATGTTACAGCCTTTCTCTAATTCTGGTGTTTCTTCTGCATTCACAGCCTGTTGGTGTCCTGGAAAGAAGATCTTTATGTTTGTTCCCCGCCCCCATCCATTTCGTGCATGTAGGCCTCACTGTCATACACTCACTCTCTCATTGCAAGAGATGGCTTTCTGTGTATCTGATACATTACCTTACAGCCATTATTCTCCCTGATAAGCATGGTCCCAAGTGTGGCTTGGTTGGGAGCCCCTTCAGGCTGACCTCTGTGTCCTTGTGACATTAATCCTGGAGCACATTCTTGCTTTTTAACACAAGTTGTCATTCCTGCCCCACCCCTAGAATCAGCCATTTCTGAAGAAGCCCTTGAGAATAACAGAATAACCTTTAGAAACCAAGATTTGGGCAGTAGGAGTGCTCACTGCTGTGGAAATGACATTGCCCCCGGGCTGTGTCAATGGCTATGGCAAAAAATATATTAAAAGAGGGAAAAATGCACTTATGTGGATATTTCTTCTAAAGTATTATTCAGTCTTTTCTCTTAGTTTTAAACTCTATCACCCTAATTGAGTTTCTATCTAAAAACCTTTCTTCTTAAAAAAAAAAAAAAAACAACTTAAAATCCCTTGGAATCTGCTAGTCTTATCTCTCTGGAGGGAGCAGGGGCAATCACATTAACCTCATGGTACTTGAGGGAAGAACAGTGCTCACAAAGGCTGAGCTGGCCAGGACGCCGCGGTGGCTGGCTTGTGCACCTGTCCTAAGCACACTGGTGCTCCTTCTAGATTGGGAAAAGTGTGACAGCAGCTCTCTCTCAGACTTTACAGTAAAGCCCCTTTATATCATATTCTCACTGCATATCTAAAAGCAGTTTTAGCATTGCCAATATTTATCTTTTTTTTTTTTTTTGGTTGCTTCCAGGTGCAGCTAAGTCAAGTCCAGCATCTAAACCAGGATCCACACCTTCTCGTCCCTCATCTGCCAAAAGGGCTTCATCCAGTGGCTCAGCGTCCAAATCTGATAAAGATTTAGAAACACAGGTCATACAGCTTAATGAACAGGTAACTCCTCATCCACGGCCGCGCCTCTGGCAGCAGTGGTGTGTGTAAGGGGTGCGGGGCCAACCCCTGTGAGCCTGGGATGAGGGAGGGAAGGTGAGGTGGAATCAGTGGTTTCAAGCCCGTAGGAGCTAAAGGAATGGCTCGGCCAGAGAAAGTCCGTAGCCCACAATAAATAAAAGCCATTACCCCCGAGTCTCAAAGCCACACCTCAGAAGACAGCAGGTGACTTGGCCTTGCTGCAGGTCGCATGCCAGCCTCCTCCTCCTCTTCTGAGCAGCCGACTTGAGCTCCAGGCTAGACCACTGAGCCCACCTCTGGCCAGGCTGCATGGAGTCAGAGGCTGTTTAGGGTTAGGTTCTCTCTCTCTCTCTTCCTCCCACCCTCCCTCTTCCCTTCGGGCAGCTGTGGCTGAGCTGCTGTACTTCCTGTGAGTAATAGAATGGTGCCAAGGTAGACCCCTTCCCATCCCTCATAGGACAGACAGACATCAGTTATTACTCAAGCAAAGCAAAACACCCAGCACTTCGCACAGTGGCAGAAGTTGGATGCCACAGAAGCCCTGAAATCAACACTGTGGCAAGAGCAGAAGGGGTGAGGGTATCTAAAAGGCTACAAATGTGTTTTAAGTAAAACCTTCCTTTTTGGCTAAATATTCCATACAATGACAGTAAACCTAGCTTTACTGTCTTTGAAATTTATAATTTAAAATCCTAGGTTGCTTGCTTTTAAAAAAAAAATATTTATTCATTTGAAAGAGTTAGAGGAAGAGACACAGAGACAGACAGATCTTCCACTCACTGGTTCACTCCCCCAGATGGCTGTAACAGCCAGGGCTGGACAGGCCAAATCCAGGAGTTTCATCCCGGTCTCCCACAGGGGTGACAGGGGCCCAAGCATTTGCGCTGTCTTCCACTGAGTTGGATCAGAAGTGGATCAGCCAAGACCCGAACCAGCTCCCATATGGAATGCACAGCTTTACCAGCTATGCCTCAATGCCAGCCCCACCCTACCCCCAGGTTACTCACTAACAGTAACCAATTTTGCCTAAGACAGTCCCTCATTTGAAAGTAATAAAACAATGGAGAGTCAAGGACCCTCAGTGGAAGCCACCCCACTTCCACCAATGCAAGTTTCTCATCCTGGCCCCTCCACCATCCGTGAACTGAACGGAGCCTGTGCCTCAGGCCCTCGGGCCATTCTCAGCCACGCACGGAGCGGGGCCTGGTGATTAATCTCATTCTTCAGGAGCCAGGGAGAGTCTGGGAACAGTTTCTGAGATAATTGTATATTTGCAAGCACAAATCGAGTTTAAAAGCAGGCAGTTGCTTAATGAGGGTGTTTCTTTACCATTCTGGCCACTTTAATGAAAAAGGTACAACTCTAAGTCATGTGGTGGGTAGGACTTTGATTTAGAAACCGTGGAATGTTCTAATGACCGGCTGGTTCTCAGTCGGAGCCCACAGAATTCCAGGTAATGACTTCTCAGATGCAAGGCAGTAAGGACAGCGCCAGTGAGTGCTGGGCCACGTGCCTAAGGCTCCAAGCAAGTCGGAGTAGACAAAGAAGCAGGCAGCGGTGGGTCTGGACTATTTTGGATTTATAACTCTTTTCTCCTAGGGAACTCAGATTCTTTTAAAATCCTTATTATCTCCTCTCCTCCCTCCACCACACCCAGGTTCTCCCCCTCCAGCCCAAAACAGGACCACATGGAAACCTGGGGGTCCTCCCCGCGCCTCCGTCCCTGGCAGCCGTCAGCAGCCAGCCAAGCTTCCTCTCGCTGGGGCTGGCTCCAGGCTCTAGGCTCCCATTAGCCCTCCAGATCACACAGAGAGCTCCCCATCCCCCAGCCTCCAAAATGCCACAGCTGAGCTGCACCTACCATCAAAACGCCACAGTAGAGAGGACACTCCTCCCACGGGGCATCCTTTTCGTTAGCGTGCCTGCCCCGCCTCAGTGCTCAGAAAGGAGGTTGCACAAACCCTAGGTTGTTAAGTCAGAATGATGTTTACCGAGCGCTTATTCCAGAGCCCTTCCCCTGCCTATCTGATCTTGCTCCCCCTATTTTCTCTTCTTGAACCTATGGAAGGCCCCACTGAAGGCTGGTGGTGGCCACCCAGGCAGCACAGTGTTGGAACCGAGAGCGCTGGGACAAGGGGGGCCGTGTGGAAACGCCTGGGCTGAAGCGTGAATTACAGTAGTAATAGAGAAAGTGACAAGTGCCATAAACTTTAAGAATTTTCATTTACTTGGCCTCGTGCCTTTATTCAGGCGATCTCGCATGATATACTATAAAAGTCCCACTGTGCTGGTCAATTCCGATGCTAGAAATGAATCAAAAGGTGTGGGGGAGAAAAGGACATCGATAAAATAATGGGGCACTGTTTCGGGACGTGGCTTAGTGGACAGGAAGTGGGTGGGAGTCACTGCTGTGCGCAGGGACTGCTGGTGAGGAGTGGGTCCTCCAGGGGCTTGGTTAGCACTGGCGGAGGCTGTGGCTGCGGTTCAGATAGCCAGGCCTGGGAGAACAGCGAGATGAGAACCTCACCCTTGCCCCTGACTTTTCTCAAGGCTCCGCCTGCAGCATCACCTCCGTCACTGCAGCAAATGAGATAGGAAAACAGACCTGCATCTGCCACTTGATCTGTCCCCATCTGAGTTTGCTGCCACTGGTTTACAGCTGAGCACGTGGTACCCGATACACCTGGAATAGCCCTGCTCGGGCTTGGGGTTTGCACAGACGCCTCGGCCATTTGCTCGTCGTGCAGGCCGCAGCACTTTCAGGAGGCAGACAAGCCTGGCTTTCCTGGGTTATGTGTGTCCTGGCCTGGGACATAGAAGCTGGCACCCCTGAACGGCCACAGGAACCCTGGCTGGCACTGCGCAGGGTCCAGGTGCGCTCTGTGGCCATGCCCAGAGAGGGAGAGCAGGAAAAAAAAATTTTAAAACAGGGAATTCTCACTTTTGGAATTCTGGCTGGTTGGCTTCATTCTTCACAAATGCCCAAGCTATAATATTAACAGAATTAAAAGTTTAAAGTTAGCAACTGACCCTCATTTGTGAGGCTTTGTGAGCAACTGCATGTTGGGAACATCGGCCAAAGGACCATATTCCCGGATCTTCCAAGATGGACACATGTTTGCCAGGTTCACAAGAAGGGAGTGGGCACTGGCTTGTTGGTAGAAGCTTGAGTGAATCAGTAATTTCAGGCTGATGAATAGCATGTACAAAGGCCCAGAATTATTTTTTAAAAGAAGAAAATTTTGCATTCCAAATGTAATTTTTGGATATTCTGTTATGGGTGATTTTTAGTATACTGAAAGATTTTTTTACCTAAGGAGGAACATGAAAGACAGGGTTTTATCTCCTAAAGAATATATTCTGTGTGATGGCATTGGTGGCACATTGAGTTAAGTTTGTAATGCCCATATCAGAGCACCAGTTCCAGTCCCAGCTGCTCCACTTCTGACCCAGCTCCCTAATACTCCCAGGAAGAGAGCAGATGTTGTTAGCTCAAGTCCCTGTCACCCATGTAGAAGACCAGAATGGAGCTTCAGGTTCCTGGCTTCCTTCTGGCCCAGCCCAGGCTTGCCGTGGCCACTTGGAGAATAAACCAGCATATTGACAGTCTCCCTCTCCCTGCCACTCTGCCTTTCAAATAAATGGTTAAAAATTGAAGAGTACTCAGCAGCCAAGAACGGGGTGATGGTTGGGGCCTGTGTGAGCTGCTGTGGGTGTAGAAGTGCTGCAGCCTGAGGTTGGAAACCAGATCCGCCACACCCCTCGCAGGGTTTCTTCAGCCCCAAGTGCACCGTGTCGCTGGGCCCTGCCTCAGCCATTTCCTCCCTCCCTTGCACTGTCCCTGTAACCGCTGTGACCAGATGCACAGCCTCGGGAGGTCTTTGCACTGGTGTCAAGGGCAGAGAAGGGGATGAGGGCTCATTTGCTAAGTTTCCATACCTTCCCGTGATTCACGCAGACAGAGCCAGAGAAATGAAACCGATCCACGAAGCCGGGACTTCAGTCACACCCAGTCTCCTTGTGCACCAAGACCCGATTTCTCAGTGGAGAACGCTTATCTTGTTTGGCTCAGGGTCATTCGTGAAAGGGGCCAAAACTAAGAGCGGCTCTTAATGCAAGTGACCTGAAGGAAGGAGGCTCCTCCCAGTCCTCTCCGCGGCCACACTTAGAACTCCCTCAGGCTCCCCGCCTTCCTCCCAGTGCTGTCTCCCTTCTCTGCAGATTCTAGTGCTCTGGTCTGTGTGAGCCAATGCAGCTTGTAAACAATGGGCAGTTATTTCTCCCAGTTCTAGAGACCGGGAGGTCCCAAGATCAAGGTGCGGGCCCCCCGCCTCGTGGATGGTGCCTTCCCGCTCTGTGTGCACACACTCCCAGGGGCCTCGCTCATCTCATTTGTGAGCTGGTTACCTCCCAAAGGTTCGCCTTCTCATGCCACCACACCGGGGCTTGGGATTTCACCACGTGGATTTGGGGAGGCCATAGCGGCAGGTCAGGAGAAAGATGTGCCGCAACCACGTCGGCGGGGAGTGGAGCTTACTCCCAGCGTGGGTGGACTCGGGCAAGCAGGGGGACTCGCTCTGACCCTCACGGATCGACGGTTGATATAAGGGAGTGCCCAGGGTGCCGTTGAGATTGCACGTTTCGGCCCAAGGTGAAGCTCCAGACCACATCCCTGTCATGTCTGCTTCCGACTCAGTGACTTGTCAGGTCTCTTGTTTTGGATCGTTCTACACATGCGTAGTTGTTTCCTTATTTCTCAATGCTACACTTTGTGGTGTTTCTTCCCCACCCTCATGCAGGTACATTCATTAAAACTTGCCCTTGAAGGTGTGGAAAAGGAAAGGGATTTCTACTTCGGGAAGTTGAGAGAGATTGAGCTGCTCTGCCAGGAACACGGGCAGGAAAATGACGACCTCGTGCAGCGACTAATGGAAGTGCTCTATGCTTCCGAAGAACATGTGAGTGTGAGGGGCCCTCCTCGATCCAAGCGCAGGGGACTCGTGTGCCGTAGAAGTCCGCATTGACACCTCAATGAGAACTGCAGCTCAGTTAGCACATTTGGTATTCGCAAAGGAATACATGTCATTATCATCATGATCCATTGACCTGTGTCTGTGGGCCGTGCGTTCATGAATTAATCTGGGAGGAGGTGCCTGGAGAGGGCCGGGGGGGACTTGAGAGAAATGCACAGCCACATCCCAGGTGGCTTTTAACTCTCGAGCAAATGAGCAAGAATTCATGTAAGGATTCTTGTTTCTTCATGAGAGGTCACAGTGTGGTTAAAGGAGAAAATAATCGAGATGCTTTTCCCACCCCTGTAAGCCCCCCAGCTGTCTTTGTTTCGTAGCGGGTTGCCATGACTTCTCAGGGCCAGGCCAGAATTGTGGGCCAGCCCTCTGCTAGATGCCCTCCTATGGGGCAGCCCCTGCTGCGGGAGCCCCTGCAGGTGGTTCTGTTGGCTGACGGAAGGCGGATGTGAGGAACAGGAGGGGCTGGGGTGGCTGAATGGCAGAAACAGGCTGCCCTACACCTGCCTGTGACTGGAGGGAGCCGGAGTCCACCAGAGGAAGGCGAGAGAGCAGGGCTCGGGCTTCCGAGCCCTCTCGGGCCAGGTTGAAGCTGGTGCTGGTGTCTGGGCAGGATCTTTGATCTGGAGGCCGATGGACGGATGCTTTCAGGGTGCTGTGGTGGGGTCACGTGCATGTGTCTGTGTTTCCATGAGGTGGCAGAGGCCACCAGCAACTTCTGCCTCCCTCCAGCTGAAGGCCAGGCCAACGTTTACGCCACTTGCGACTTAGGGGATGTCCCGGAGACATTTTCCTGAACTGTGAGGCACCGTGTCTGCGGGTGGGGAGGTCATGCCTTAACTTTTTCATTTCCATTGATTTCTTTCATTTCTTTCTTGATGATCCATAACTCAGAATGTAGATTTTGAAGCCCCAGGAATCTTGTGTGGTTAGGTCATGGATGTCATGATGCTTCACAGGTACAGTTCTGCACATTCAGATGAGACAAAAGCAGCCGATTTGCAGTGTGACTGTGACCCCAGGAGCAGGGTGTGCTCCAAGTTGTGCTGGTAGAGCGTGCTGGGTCATGACTGGATGAATTAGTTATCCCTTCCAGAGCTTGGTTGCAATAAGTTGGCGCCATGGTGTACACAGTGCCTTGAGGCAGAGTGGATGGTGCTTGCTATGATCATACCAACTAGTGTGAGACAGCCCAATGTGCAGGATCAACCCCTCTTCCCAGCCCTGAACTCCCAGTGGGAAGTAAAACCTTAGGGTCACATCTTGTCCCAGGAGAGCCCTGTAGGTCACTGAATTCCTGGCTAAGCACAGGCAGGGCTTAGGTGAGAGCTCTTGCCTCCTGGGTGTGATCTCAAGGGGGTCTACGTAGGTGACCACCCTCAGCTTCGGTACTGCTGTGCCCATCACCGCCCCACCCCAGGGCCAGCCTGCTCCTCTGCATCCAGAAAACTGGTCCTGCAGGGTCTGTGCATTAAAATGCGCACACCGCCGGGAGAAGTCAAAGTGGGTAATGCATCGAACAGGTCCTTTCCTTAAGCACCTACAATGGCATATAAGAGGGAAAGGGCTAGAACTCTGTATATGAGTTTATAACTCCTTTAATATCTCGAGAATACTCTTAGGTAAATAATGTTATCCTGTTTTACAGATGAGGGAGACTAAGGCAGTAGAAGTTGAAATACCTTTTCTAATATTGTCTGAAACACGAGTTTGTGATGCATCTTCTCCAAGTCTGAGCCCTCTTTAAACAGGATCATGATAATAGTAATAGCTGTATTGCTTAGTACGAGCCAGACACTGTATTCACATTCTACGTACGTTTCTCCCCCAACCACATCCCTGTGTAGCGTGTACTGTTACTTGCCCAGTGATTCACACTTAAATTTGAACTAGGTGTGTTACCACCCTCTCAGCCTGTCAGGTGCCATCAGCAGGGAGGAAATCAGCATTGCGCCACCTGGGGAAGCCTCAAGCCAGGACTAGCTCTGCTGCAGCCCAACAGGCTGTGTGTGTAGAGCAGGAAGTAGTCAAACCCCTTCCTGGACTTCCTCCAAGTAACTCCCTGTCTCATTTTGTTGGTTTACACCTTCAAGTCCTCCTGCCCTCTTTTTCTGGGCCTCCATCATGTAAATCAGCATCACTGGAGAACTTATTTTCCTGGCTAACTTTCTTAAACGTACCTTTGTTGTCATCTCAGGCACTGTGCTATTCTCATCCAAAAGAGAGAAGCAGGGTAGGGAGCAGAGACTGAGACATTGGCATCACCATGTGAGTACATGGTAGGGAGTTAGGACATATCCAGAATCCAAGAAGAGAAAAATGGACTTAAACTCCATGTGTGTGTTAGCGGAGCAAAGTCTTCCAGTGCAGTTGCTGTCTTACTTTTCCAGTTGTAAGATATGTCTGGAAGACTCCAAAAGATACGCATCAGGCTACACTGAGTTTTCCATGGACACTAAGGCAGCCGACCTGGAATATGCCAGGTGTCCTTGTTGGAATGTGCTAGACCCACTTTGTTAACCTTTGGTTTCGATACAGAAAGGAAAAATTGCTCTGTGCCTGGACATGGGGCTGGGTGCTTCTGTGCACCACACACACGACTGCCTGGAGAGGCTGAGCAGTGGCTCGTCTGCTCCCCTCTCTGCTTCCTCTGCAGAGGCTCATGGGAACACCCTGCCACCCTGAAGCCTTCGATCATGTGCCCTTCTGCCTGAGGATAATGAACCCTGTGCCTGTGGCAGCCTGGGGGGAGGGAGGCAGGCAGTCTCATGCAAGCTTCTGCACCGCCCACTGCCCCTGTGTCTCATGGTCTGGAAGGTATCACGTTGGGAAAATGTGCTCTGTGGTTGTGATGTCACCACATCCTCCCTGTTGCCCCGCTGTGCTCGGCCCTCCTACTGTGTCTTGTTTTCAGGCCATTCCCACACATGGAAGGTGGGCAGCCACCTGTAGGCTAGGATGTGCATGAGCCCCGGGAAGAAACTGCAGCACTGACCCTGGTTCATGTGTGCAGAGCTGCGATGGTGGAGGTGTCTGGTTGACTGCTGCTCCCTGGAGCTGGGAGAGGAGCTCCAGAAGCAGGGGCTGGCTTCTAGTGGGTGCTCTGCTCGTAAGCGTAGATCAGCCGGGGTTGGGATTGCAGGGTGGGGACTGCCCCTACTGAGTGTCATGGTCAAGCAACCCTAGCATATCATGTCTGGAGGACGTAAAAACCCAGCTGGAGTTTGAAATAGAGCAGTCAACAGGGATGACAATTCCCAGTTGTAGAAACCTAATGGAAGTTTCCAGAGCAGATTGCCAGCCAGCTGTCCCGCACCTCTCTTTATCACTCTTGTTATCTTTTCCTTTAGTACTTAACTCAGGGCCACAGATGTCCGGGCTTAGGCATTGGCTGCCTGCTCCCATGTGGATTCTCTCAGCTGATGCACAAGTGCTTGGTTGCCAAGTACTGACTGTCATGGAAGCCACTGTTAAAAGGAGGTAAAGATGTTCTTGCTCCTTCAATGCATTTTGCAGATAGGCTGGGTTTGTTACTGGACTAAGCACTGAGTAACTTAAAGAGAAAGGCACAGCCCCTGCCTCAGAAGAGCTCAGAGTCCCCCGCTGAGGGAGACAGACAGGGATGCAAGTGACGGAGTGCACGGCAGATGATAAATGTGAACAGAGACATAAATAAACCTGTGTGGGAAGTGCCTAACAGCCTGGAGGGCCAAGCAAAGAGGGTGTCCGTGTCGGATGGAGAAGGAGGGCTGGGAACATAAGTGGTTATAGAAGGAAGAGGGGGATAGTATTTTTAATGCAGAGGAAACAGCACGAACAAATCAGAGGAGGTGACAGCCCTGAAACCTCCGTGTCCAGCCACCAGGAAGCCTCCCTTCTTTGCCCCGTTGTCCTCCCACAATGGCCAGGAGCCTTCTAACTTCTCTAATAATTCTATTACAAACATATAACTCGCAGAAAAACATTTAGAAATATGTGCTGGATTGATGTGCACATATTACATGAGATCAAGTAGACAACTCTCCAACGTAGCAGTCTCATGTTTGCCCTAAGTTTTGCCTGGTCGCCCACTTCCAGGTGGGTTTAAGGTCTTCATCTGTCTTCCCTGCAGTGGGCCTACAATCGCATTAGGTGGGCTGGGCATTCGCGGTTGTGATATGTAACGCCACCTTGCAATCACAGGTGTGTTCACCGCCCTCACTTGCACCCGAGCATTCAGTCCATCACAGCCTGGGAGGTTTGTTCTGCACTAGGGTTGCCCAGTAAGAGGGCCCAGGATCTGCAGCTCCTGCAGAGGCAATGTCCTGGGACTTCAGCCCGGTGCGCATGGGGAGCTGCCCTTGGCCAGCTGGAGACCACAAAGCCCTGGCCAAGGGAACAAACCCACCTTCTCGTTCAGTGTGTTTGGCAAGGAGGCCTGGGGAGGGGCCTCAGCTGATGGGTTCCTTGTTCTGCAGCTTGTGACAGGCTCATCAATGGTTTGAGTCCAGGTCTTCCAGCTCTGGGTTAACTCCATCATCCTCCATTCAACTCCCGACTGTGATGTAAGCAAACAAGACTTTCTGTGAGCTCTCCGGCAGCCTCACATGCACAGAAACAATTACGTGAGAAAGGCCTAAATGCTGAAGTGAGGGTGAACGCTGGCGAAGACACCACACTAGCCCACTGGGGCTCGGGGCCCCGCTGGAGGACAGGCAGATGTGGCGCCACCCACAAGGAACACACACAGGGCTACAGTGTGCCCACTAACAAAGCAAGAACTGGGGGTGAAGACAGTGATAGGTGCTCCCGGGAGGACCAGCATTTGCTTTTTTTAACTGCATTATTTGAAAGGCAAAGAGAGCTTCCATCTGCTGGTTTACTCCCCAAATGCCATGAGAGCCAGACCTAAGCCAGGAGCCCAGAACTCCATCCAGGTCTCCCACATGCATGGCAGGGACCCAAATACTAGAGCCATCACCTGCTGCCTCCTCGGGGTGTGCATCAGCAGGAAGCTGGAGTCGGGAGGAGCCGTAGATTAAATCTAGGCACTCCTACGGGACGCGGGCACTCCAAGTCCTATGTAAACTGCTCTGCCAAATGCCTGCCCCCGTTCTCGTAATATAGAGGAGCATGTGGCAGAACAGATGGCCAGAGCTGCCAGCCGACCGTCCCTGTGAAACTCCCACGAGCTTCGGGCCCCACGCTCTCGCTTCCCTGAGATAGATGACGTGCCTGCTTTCCTCTCTTGCACCGCGCCGACAAGCAGTACCCTCCTCCTGCCCAGGAAAGTGCAGGGGCAGTGGAGGCCCTAACTTTCTGAGCCCAGAGGACCGCCCGCTGAGAGCCACACAGTGTACAAAGCAGGGTGCTGCAATGCCCAGGGAGTCGACAGACTGGGAGCCCAGAGGGTGCCGAGGTCTCCCCGAAGTCAGCAGCTGCAGTCAAGGACGGAGTGACAGAAGGATGCTGCACTGGGCGGAACAGTTCTAGGTGGTTGTAACAGTGTGGCCACGAGTATGGAGAGAAAGCTGACGTCTCCTAAGTCGTGTGCTCGTGGCTACAGAGCCACATTTGATTCCGGCTCTTCAATGTCCCCTCCCATTATTGGTTGTCACAGAAAGGATATTTTTTAAAAATTATTTACAGTTCTGGAATCGATTCCAAAGAGTTCTGCCACTGCAGAGGTAATAATCGCAGCTCTCTCGTGCATTCCTTACGTGCCGAGTCTTCCAGGCACTTTACCCATTTCATCACATCCTTTGTTGGGTTCAATGAACAATGAAATGCATTGAAAATTGTTACCTGGACATTCTTATTCCCCGTTTTACAGGTGAGAAAACTGAGGTATAGAGCAGTTTTGTACCCACAGCTAACACAGTTGGTAAACAGCAGAGCTGGGATGTGAACCCAGAGCCCATGCGTATAACCTTGATATTATACTGTATCCTGGTCTGCGTCTCAGTCATCAGCTTTTGAATCCTCGGACTTCTTTCTTTCAATACCACATGGACTCATTTTTACAGTGAGAGTGAATGAGCCCAAGAAGTCCTAGAAAAACAGGATCCTAAGTCAGAGTTTTCTAGCACGGGAGGAAAAATTTCTGGAGAAGGGAGAGAAATCATCCTGACTCGGGGACCTAGGAGATGATCATCCCCTAGTTGAAGGGATCTTGAACTTGGATTTGTCCTACACTGCAGGGAGTAGCAGCTGGACAGGAAGGGAGGGGCAGGGCGAGTCAGTGGTCCAGGTGTGAGCAGACTCGAGCATTCCTACAGGTGCCAGGTAGCACAGCAGCCGCCTGCCCCGACACAGGTGTGCTCAGCTGCGTGGATTAGTACCTGAGCAGAGAAGTGCGGCTAAAGAGCTAATTCTTCTCAATGAAAGAAGTCGCAGGCATGGCTGTCTGAGGCCGACGTCTGTGCTGTGCTTCTCTGGGTCGCACATCTGGAGGAACACCGCACCTGTCTGTCAAAGCAGGAACGGATGCGAACAAGAACCAGAAGGCTGGGACCAGGATGGCATGTGTTTAATAAAGCGAGAAGTTTGGTGATCGAAGCCTAACAACTGTGCTTTCTAGAATGACCGGGGTGGGAAGCAAAGACATTATTCCTCGCTGGTACCCCCTGGGAACTGGGAGACATTGGCACGGCGAGTTGTACCTGGTACCACCCAGTTTTGAATTGCCACACTGTGCAGTGAGGTGGGGGGCTGGGACGCCGGAGGAAACCCAGTAAATAATCTCCACTAAAACCTCTCCCCCATCCCACACGCAGGAGGGCCACACAGACGAGCCGGAAGCTGAGGAGCAAGCCCACGACCAGCAGCCCCAGCAGCAGGAAGAGTACTGAGCCTCCCAGAGCTCCGGCCCCTTCCGCTGCGCACGGAACTTTTCCTCTGCAGATCTGGAACATGTGTGGCCTCAAGCTGAGCAGCAACCAGTTGTCCTAATCTGCCGTTCCCATCGACGCACTGTCGCCCATGCCAGCCACCGCGCTCAGTTCCCATTTTCTTTGCCAAGACGCATTAGCAGCAGGCGCTGGTCTGGCCACCCACCTGACATCATAGGGTCACATACCTTCAACTTCGCCACTTGGCTGCTTGAGATTGGTTCTGCTCTTTTCTTCATTTCTTTCCAGAACAACTCTTTCCCACCCCCAACACCGACACCACCACCACCCCTTTTTATCCTGGTGTGAAACAATGGTCATTTGATATATGGTATTTATATTGGCATTTCTCAGCCCAGTGTCACTAGATGTCACATGCATTTGTGGTGCTTTGATGTTTGCGAATCTAACCTCTAAACATAAAGTTGGTGAAACAATTGGAGCAAAGGGAAACAGATACTCGATATGAAAGCCATAATGACAGTGACGCGTATCGTGGGGAAGAACACAGGGTCAGTTTCTCCCTCTACTGACAACACAAAAGGGAAAAAGAGGCTTCAAAACTAGGCCCTCAGGCCCTGGCAGGGTCCACACAGCAGCCTGTTAGTTTTGAAAGACATCCACCCAAGGAAAACACTTCTCACCATGTGCCCCACCCTCCCAGCCCCCTCCCCTGGTTCTCATGCTCTTTTCTTTCTCAGGGTCCTCTTTGGTGGGCAGCCACACCCCCACGGTGTTGTCATCCGTTACCTGCAGTCCGAAGGGGTCTGGTGCCTCATCCCTCTTGCTCCTTGATGTGGGTTTCAGCCCAAATGTTGTCCCTCACTGGGATTTAGTCAAGGTACCCCCAGGGTGTGCAGGCCATAGCTCCTAGGCGCTGCGGAGGCTGCACACTGGCTGGAAGACTTTATTCACAGCATAATTCCAAGGAAGATCATGGTCCATGATCCAGCTATCTTCTGGGATGAGGAATTGCCCCTCTACAACACAAGGGCCCTCCTTGTCATTGACCTTTGCTAAACCATGGCGACTCACAGAGGAAACATGATGAATTTAAAGCATTCCTTATTTTTTAAACTAATATTTGCACATTTTCTTAGTCTCTCTCAACATCTTTGCCTTTATTTTTTCCCCCTTGGACAGATGGTATCCCTTCCTGGATCAGTCATTTCACTTCAGATTTACTTTCACTTGTTATTTGACTTAGCAGGTGCAACAACAACAAGAAACAAATATGCCCACCCTACTTTCCACTTTTAATTGAAAAAGCTTAAAATAAATTTCTGAATTACATCCCCTCAAGCTTTGAAATTTCTCCATGAATGAGTGAAATACTAACTTCCAAATTCTAGCATTAAAGCTTTTCACCAAAAGAAGTTCTTTCCAAAATAAATCAATCTTCTGCAGCAAAGTGGTATTTACTGAGTTATATGTGGAAAAAGATGGCTTGTATTTTTGAGATTGTTACGACACACTGTGCAGACCCGGACAGATGTTCCATGGCGTTTGGTTTCCCTTCTCTCTCCTGCTCACTCTGCACGACAGCGGCAGCTCGCTTCTCCAAGGCTGCGAAGCCTGGCTCTCAGCGGTGACATCCTCCCATGCCTGGGTACAGGTAGTGGCTGTGCTATACGCGGCGTCGCGCTTCCTGGGGTGTTGTACTCATCGACTGCCCTTTCTTAAAAAACAGCTCCTGCAAAGAGGCACAATAAATAATTCCCTGCAGTTGCTACGTCAGTGGTTTCTAGACCATCCTTTGCTGTTCTGGCCCTCTTGGCTGTCCCCAGGCGGGCGGATGCTCGTGAGTAGGCAGCAGGAGTCAGGATCCTGCCTTCTTCAGAAACCACTTAGCCCTGGGGGACATGCACACGCCTCTCCAGGGGCTCTTGCTGGAACCACTCCACTCCTTTCCAGCTCCCCAGCCTTCTCTGCTCTGAACGCAGTGGTCGGATAGTTTAGGCGGCAATGAGCGTCCATACTCCATTCTCCCTGCTGAAGGCTTGGGCGAGACCCTTTATTTAGAGAAGAGCTATAAATCCCTCTTTCCCATCTTAAACCTCTTCCCTGTGCTGCATCCCAGGTGATGTCCCGGATGTTTGCCAGAGCCTTTAACAGCCAAGGTTCTGAGACAGGTCCCGTGAGCCGCACCCCTGGCCTCCACTCCCGCCACCAATCAGTCTCCCCTCGGTGTTCGGGGCACGGGCCCTCAGGCTGGGCTGAAACGCATCCCTGGGTGTGGGCACTGCTCTTCCCTCAGGAAGCTTGGTTTCATTCGTAGTGGCCCTCACACCACAGATGGCTGCTTATGGCACTTCCACTGCTGTGGCCAGACCGGAAGTGATCGAAGCAGGGGGCAAAGAGAAAGCCTCTGTTCATTGTAAGCAGAAAAGCAGGAAAAAAGACAAAGACAAACCCTGTTGACCCGAGAGAAGTCGGCTCCAGAAGGGAACCCAGAACTCGTCCCTTCCCTGGTGAGTAGTCCCGTTCTTCCGTTAAGGTTAATGTGCATTCAGATTACTTTAACTAAATAGTACCCCATAAAGCTCTTGTTATATATGAAATGTAAACTGAAAGGAATGTAAACATATGTACTGTTAATTATAAATAGAGATAAGTCATGAGCTAATAGAAGAAAAGTCCTACTCAGATGTATCACATTCATTTACCTTGCCCACCTATTGTCGCATGGTAGAAGAGTTTTTGTCTCTTGAATATGTGAATAACTTGACTTGCGTTGATCTTTTTACATATTTAATAAAAAAGTATGTTAAAACCTGCCTGTATCTATAGATTTTTTTAAATGTTATTTTCATCTACTTGAAAAGCAAAGCAACAGAGATACAGAGCTCCTCGTATGTAGTGGTTCACTTCCCAAATTCTGCCAACAGCGAGGGCCAGACCAGGTCCGAGCCAGGAGCCTGAGCCCCCATCTGCACCTCCCACATGGGTGGCAGGGGCTCGAGTATCTGACCCATTATCTGCCGCCTCTCAGGACGCGTTCATTAGCAGGAAGCTGGGTTGGAAGCAGAGTAACCACGCCTCAGGCCGGCACTGCACGTGGGGTGCAGGCAGCTCAAGCAGCAGCTTCACCCACTGGGCTGCCGAGCCTGCCCCTGGATCTCTAGATTCTTAAGTTGCTATGCCAGAGTTTCCTTTTTGTGAGTGTGTGTGAAGGAGAGATGTGTACATTCCCACATCTCCCCACATCTTATTTATCAGGGAAAGGAAGAGTGGCTTTGTTTTTATTGAAGGCGAATGTTTTAACAGGTCTTACAGATTAGTACTTCAGAGAAACTGTAGCAGTTCTAATACTCAAGAAAGCTTCGCAAAAAAAAATTCCTTTAGGAAACCTTCCACTCAGGAGGAAACAAAGCCCTAGCTGCGGTCGGTGGGGTCGGGACGCCGCCGAGCGAGCGGCTGGGAGAGTGCTGGAGGAGAAGGCGGGCACCTATGAGGAAGGGTCTCCGGCAGAGCCAAGTGGGTGGCGGAAGTTCTCTGAATCAGGGTAGTCTCCTTCCCCCTCACCCCTTGCTTGTTTGCTAAGTGAGGAGTGAGGACTTAGAGCTACAAGTGGAATAGAAGACTAAACAGGAACGGGTGCAAGAAAGAATGAACTGGCCCAGTGAGCCACCTGGGAAGAACCTAGGCAGGATGACCGTCCCTGAGCCTTGCAGAGGAGCATGGTTCAGGCCCTATCCTTTGTACCCTAACGGGCGCCTCCTTCCCAGTCCTGCTTGCCAGCCCCACCTAGAGGTCAGTTTTGTTGCTACGCCATCCCTTGGCAATTACTTTTCATCTTGGTGCCTTGAGGCGCTCTTCTAGTAGGCACAGAGGACAGGGAAAACAAGGGAAGACAGAAACGTGACCCCTTGCTCCCCGGGGTGCATCTGGGACGGAAGTCTGTAACCCACAGCCTGGGTCGTGAGCTCATGTTCAGTGCACACGTGTGTTTGTCATGTAATTCACCAACCCTGGAGCCAGTTCTTACATTTACATATCTGTGCAGAAACGACCTGAAAATACATGTGCTTTGTCGTAAAATAATGGTACTCCAGTAACTTGTCACTGATTATTCAAATGTGGTGAAACAGTATGCTTGTCCCATTTTATGAAATCTGAGGTCATCTCTGAACACTTAATGTGTTGCCACTGGTATTATGGGTGGAGCTCACGAGACCAGAGACAAACAGAAACAAAACTTAATGGAAGTCCACTAAGTGAGTTACAGAATGCCACTTCTCTAAAACACACACACATCTGTGATCATTAAGGCTCGTAAGCAGTTGCTGACCCAGTTTCTCAGCACTCAGGCAGTGTCGCCACATGGCACCAAGTGTCGGATGAGAGCATCTCCCTGGATTTCGAACTCCTGCTTTGCCAGACTGGGAGCTCAGAACGTGCTCTCCATTCGTGTGAGGAGCTCTGGCTTTATTTGCCTAAAGGAAAGCGAAGATGCAAGAGGAGAACCCCCTGGTCCCTGAGGGGCTCTCACATGGCACCAGGACTTCCAATCCCAAGAGCAGACCCTGCAGCTCTGGCCCAGATGCCAAGATGTCCTGCAGAAGTGGGGCACTGTGAGGTGCACCTGCTGGGGCTGCAGCTCTGTGGAGTTCAGGGTCATCAGAATGGAAGGCCCAATTGCAGTTACTTTATTGAGGGTCTTTTTCCTCTCATTCCACTCACATTGTTAAGCCCTTGCAAAGTCTTGCCAAGTTTTAAATTCTTAAACAGGTCTCTTGTGGTATTCTTGTAACTCTTATCATGACTGGGTATAAATTGAGGGTTTTTAAAAGGATAATGAATCAGTAATATGCCTCTGAATTTGATTTTCAATAGAAACCAGCCCAGGCCCTAAATATGTTCTTTTCCAGAGAATAAAAAAAGTGCACATTTCTTTGTGTAGTAAACAGCCCTCATATCTTTACTCCTGGAAGCTTATCTTAGTAAAATACCTTGAAAACTTTTTTTTAAGTGTTTATCTTAATAAAATGCTTGGTCAACATGGACCTTTACAAGTTAGAAAATGATGAAAAATTCCAAAAATGTGTTCATAATTCCAATCCAAACTCACAACATTCTAGTGTGTTGCTCTCTTCTGATCTGACACTTAGTACATGGCTGAAATGTGACCACCTACTCATGGGACAGATTTTTACAAGTGTGAAGATTTTTCTAAAAAAAAAAAAAGCCATAGCAAAGCAGTTTTAAGGGTTCATCTTTTATAGGCTAAGCCACATCAAAAGAGGCACAGGGGCCATCCTTTCTAGACACAGACATCATCTAGTCACCTGCACTTTATAAAAAATAAAAAGACACCAGCTCTCTGCTGTGGCCAGGGAGTGCAGTGGAGGATGGCCCAAGTACTTGGGCCCTGCACCCCATGGGAGACCAGGATAAGTACCTGGCTCCTGCCATCCGATCAGCGCGGTGCGCCAGCCGCCACGGCCATTGGAGGGTGAACCAACGGCAAAAGGAAGACCTTTCTCTCTGTCTCTCTCTCACTGTCCACTCTGCCTGTCAAAAAATAAAAAAATAAAAAGACAAGGCATGTGGAATTTTTCCCCAGAGCGCTGTCACTTTTCTTCTTAAGAGAATGGTCTTACAATATCATGAGATGCTTCCCAGTTGTCCCGAGCCATAACAACTACAACATGCAAAGTTTTGGTTTTACTTTCTTAAGAGCACAGATAGCAGAAGCCAGCATTTAGCCTCGCAGTTACCATGTCCCATCTTGGAGTGCCTGGGTTTCATTCCCTGTGGGGAAATTAGGCACACGTGGCAATTCAAAGATGGCACCCAAAGGAAGTAAGGTGGGCGGTGTCCAAAGTCCTTTACCACCAAAGCTGATTGGCCGCGCAGCATCAGGGGAGGTGACAACTGATGAGTGTACAGACATATGGCTGGTCCTGTAAAAAGTCACCCCGTAAAATGACCTTTTAAGTAATTGGTTGGTCCTTAAGCCCTGCCCCAGTAATCATGTGGTCTTGTGCTTTAAAAGGCTTTGCCGTGTGCCAGTAAACGGAGTTCTTGCTTGCTTGACTTGACTCCCCGCTGCGTCTGATTGTCTCCAGGATCGGGAGGCTGGGGAACAGGCGAGCGGCACACTTACCTTTCTTCGGACCCAGTCCATCCTCGTTCGGGTGGACTAAGACCCAGCAATTCCCAGATCTGTCTCCCGACTCCAGGTTCCTGCTAATGCAGACAATAGGAGGCAGCGGTGCCGATGGCTCAAGTAGCTGGGTTCTCGCCCCCCACAGGAGAGACCTGGATTAAGTTCCTCACTTTCAGCCCAGCCCTGGCATTGCAGCATTTGGAAAATGAACCAATGACGGGAACTCTCTCTCTCTGCCTCAAGCAATAATTAAAAATATTTTTAAATATGGATACCATTTACTTAGGGATGCAAAACATTCTTTTTAGAATGAAGATTTAATAGGCACAGAATGAATGACTGTATTTGTGATGCCTACAGGAGCTCTAAAAGGGCTCAAGTATAAGAACTGGTCTCCAGGGCCGGTGTTGTAGCCTAGTGGGTAAAGCTGCTGCCTGTGACACCAGCAGCCCATATGGGTGCCAGTTCAAGTCCTGGCTGGTCTACTTCTGATACAGCTCAATGCTAATGCACCTGAGAAAGAAGCAGAACATGGCCCAAGTGTTTGGGACCCCATACCCACATGGGAGATCTGGAAGAGGCTCCTGGCCCATTTGGGGAGTGAAGCAGTGGATGGAAGATTTCTCTTTCCTTCTTTCTAACTCTACCTTTTAAATAAATAAAATCTTTAAAACAAAAAAAGTAGAAAAAAATTTGTCTCTTCTGAGAACATAATGGTGGAAACTGGCAGACATGTTATATCGCACTCTTACTAAGCAAAGACTCCACAGTGTAGGTAACTCCTAGTTGGAACACATGATTTTGTTACATGATGGCCAGTTCACACACAACTCAAAAAAAGAGTACTTTGGACCACACAGCTATACACTCACCACATAAGACTATGAAATAATCTCATTTAGGGCTGGCGCTGTGGCTTACTTGGTTAACCCTCCACCTGTGGCACCTGGCATCCCATATGGGCACTGGGTCCTAGTCCTGGTTGCTCCTCTTCCAGTTCAGCGCTCTGCTGTGCCCCGGGAAGGCAATGGAGGATGGCCCAAGTGCTTGGGCCCCTGCACCCACATGGGAGACCAGGAGGAAGCTCTGAGCAGTTCTATCTGTGCCTAAGGAAGATTTCAGCTCCATGGGTAACTCCTGGCTGGTCCCCTTCAGTGACATGCACATTACAGAATTGTCCTTTGAAAGGAAGGAGGCCAGCGCCATGGCTCAATAGGCTAATCCTCCGCCTGCAGTGCTGGCACACTGGGTTGTAGTCCCGGTTGGGGCACCAGATTCTGTCCCGGTTGCTCCTCTTCCGGGCCAGCTCTCTGCTGTGGCCCGGGAGTGCAGTGGAGGATGGCCCAAGTGCTTGGGCCCTGCACCCACATGGGAGACCAGGAGAAGCACCTGGCTCCTGGCTTCGGATCAGCGTGGTGCGCCGGCCGCAGCGGCCATTGGAGGGTGAACCAACAGTGAAGGAAGACCTTTCTCTCTCTGTCTCTCTCTCTCTCACTGTCCACTCTGCCTGTCCAAAAAAAAAAAAAGGAAAGACAGGAGAGGAATGGAGCCGGCAACAATGGTCTGAAACAGCATCCTTCTTGATTTCTAAGATATCCTAATACTCCTGCAGCCTTCAACTCGTTTATTTGTGTTCTAAGAAATACACGGCGGTGGACTTGATCG